ATAATAATAATAATATATTTATGCTATAAATATTGTGATGAAAATGCTGCTTGCAGTGCATGAAATGTCAGTAATGGGCAACACAGGATTCACTTTTTCACAGTGCACTAAAGTGTGCTACTTATTCCATTTCATATCAGATCCTCCTTTGTAATATTGTAATAGATCATTCACTCACTCCTGTCTATAATGCAAACACAACTTTTTATTTTAAATGCCACTTATAATTACATTAAAATGTCATTTGTTGCTACATGTTTTGGCTTCACAAGGCCATCACCAGGCAACTGTTAATTGGTTGAAATCACTGCACGGCATGGGCTCATGCATCAATATGCAAATTTATTTGCATGCTATTATTATTTGTTGTGATATTTGAGAATGTAAGTTATTTCTACTAATTTTAGAAATTTGACATTTTTCCAAATTATTTAAATATCTGCCCTTCCTTGCTGTCCTTATGACATCTGTGGTTCTGTTATTGTTCTGTATGCATGTCCTGTGTACAATATATGATTTGAATATCCAGAATTACTATTGTTATTTCTGATGATGTGGATGTGTTCTTTATATCTATATTAAAGTTGTTCTTGTCTGACCAGTGTATTTAAGTGGGCAATCTAGTCATTTCAGTATAGGCACAGCAAAAATTACATTAAAGTTCAGCTCTAAATAAATGCATAAGTGAGGTTTCTTTCTTAATTCAGTATAAAAAATTTGAGGCTTCAGCATTTGTAGGATACATGCATGTACTCAACAAAGTGTGTACACACATGCATGTGCACACCATATAAGTCTTGGAATCTAGTCCACGGTTGGTTATTATAGTGTACAATGGGGTACCCANGAAGAAATAAGTTTGGTTTCTTTTGGGTACCCCCTCATATGACCCATTACAGTGTATGTGGTATCAACAGTGATGAAGTTGGCTGTGGAGTGTCATTTTAAACATTTTTATCTTCTGCTAATCTTTATTTTCATACACAGATGTATGCCATGCGGAGGAGTTAGGTAAATATAACTGAGTGTACATTGCAGAGTATACAGCATTTCCTTGACAACCCACATATCCTGGAGTACATTGCTCAGCTGGGAAGCCAGAAGCTTCAGGCAGGTGATAGCTGGTTCACTCGTGTTGAGACTGCAATGTTGGCAGACATGTTGAAGCTCCTCAAGGTTGTCCTACCAGCTACAGTAAGTGTATCTGCAAGAAATCTCCTAAGCTTTGGAATCATGGAAGTGGGCATGTGTTAATCTAAATTTGTGTGTGCAGGTTTTCAGTTACATGAACCAAACCCTTTGGTTCTATATCAGATTGCTGTTCACATGGCTTAGTTTGTTTTAAGTAATTGGTTAAAGCATAATGGTTATTACACTTTTTCATATGTTCAATTCCCAGTTAGTCCATCCATTGCTGTTAATAAGAAATATGTTTGAAATAAAGGAAATGGAGAATATTACATTTCTTTATTTCATACAGAAAGCAAATCTTTGAAACTCCCTACAGACTGGAAAATAACATGACAACTGTTTTGGTCTCTCTCTTGTGAAGCCATTTTAGCCTGTTAATAAATGCTGAATCATTGTAATCTGGCACTTGATATCTTAGAGTAACCTCTATATGAAAACATTTTCTGTTACAGCTGTGGTCACTTGAGAATATTTTATCTTTCTGTGTTGTATATCTAAAAATTTTAAGATTAAAATGTGTGAAACATAAAATTTCTTGTTGTATGTACATGGGTTACTTCAAAAGTCATGGCAACATAATTTTTCCAAAATTTCAAAAGCGCCGTCCAGAATTTCCAAATTTGCTACTGAGAGACAGCAAAGTCTGATTTCTAATAATGCCACTAGATGATGCGGAAGGCCAAGGATAATGAAGCAAGTCCAGCGCGAAGTCAGTGCGATTATAACCTTCGTCGAGAATGAACATTAGCCAGCTGGAATAGCATTGTTACATGAAAATAGCTGTGCTTCATGGCAGAAATGTGACTGAATGTCACTCAGAGCTTATGGAAGCTCTGGGTGATCGTGCTCTACCATACAGAACTGTTGCAAGGTGGCCAGAAGCATTCCAACGTGGAAGAGAAGCAAGTGCCGTCTTGCAATGTATTGGACGCCCTGCATCCATTCGTACTGATGTTTCTCATGCTGTGATCACCCAGTGCATTGAGGAAGTTACTCTTGAAACACTTGGAGACTACTTTGAAGGTTGCTAGTCGTAATGTAAGAATTCAGATTTAACTCACATTGAATTTTTTAATTCTTAATCACAATTGAATTTTTCGAGGATTAAAGAATGAAAAAAAACAGTCATTCTGTAATGTGCAATTTTTCTGACTAAGCCAATCAGAGGGGTATATCATGCCCCCTCATAAGTATATTTTGAACTTTCTTCACTGTAACGTGTTTGCCCAAAAAAATTAGTTGCCATGACTTTTGAAGTAACCCACATATGTGTGTGAAAGTTCATCCCACATATTGAGGGTGTTTGAGAACAAAATGCTGAGAAGGTATTTAGACCTGAGAGAAATAATATATGACTGGAGGCATTTTGTAATGAGCTTCATGATTTGTACTCTTATCTCACATTGTTATATATGATGAGGCATGTAACAAGGATGATATGGGAAACTCATACAACATTTTGGTTGAAAATCACAAGGAAAAGACCATTTTGAAGACCTGTATATGAATATATGGATAATATTAAAATCAGATATAGACCAATAAGGTGTGAGGATGTAGGAAAATTGAACTGGCTTAGATTCAAGTCCAAATATGAGTCTCCATTAACTTTGTGATAAATTTTGAGGTTCTGGATAAACAAGAAGTTCCTTAAACAATTGATCAAGATTCTATAGATAAAGATGATAATATTAGAATATCCAATTAGATCTCTACCCCTTTGGAAGCCTAAACTGTACACTGTCAATAGCAAATGCTTTTAATACTTGTTCATGATTTTCCTGTTTCTTTGCAGATAGTACTTAATAATGAGCCATTGATGCTGTCTTTATAATGCACAACCACCATCTTTGAGCCGATTGTCTAGATAGTGTGGGACCCTCAACATCTCACAACCCTATGGGCCTTCACAGCCTGTTACAGGGATAGCTTTACTTTACTTTTATATATAGAGTATGAATAGCGTTAGTTAGCCAGTTGTCAACTTTGTGGGATAGAAATGATTGTGGAAACCTGAAACATTATGAGTGTAAGAGTTGATATATTTCTCATTCCAGAATTTCCAACATATTGGACTGTTTCACACTATGGCACTTCAGCTTGTTTCTCTGATACCTACAGATGAGAAATTCCTTGCCAAGGAAATTTTCAACCATGCAGTTTTTAACCCTGACTTCATCAGGTGGGTTCTGCGCTGTATCTCAGTACTTAGTTCTTGACTTCATGCTTATAAATCATAAATAATTCACAGTACAGATAAACCTTGTGACAGAATTCATAGGATGCTAGGCTTTTGTGTACTAGGTTTAATCTCACTGGGGTATAGAATTCTCTTTGTATGTAATTCAGTGCTGCAAAATAAAGTCCTGTGGAAAAATGACAATTCAGTACGATTATACATTTCATGAATATTTTCCTGGTGATTATCCAGCTGGATCAAAACATGTAACAAATGTACAAATAAATATTAATACAGTAATCGTGGTTTGTTTATTATGATTTTGTTGTGTTGACCATTGTATGATAATACTATACAGTAATACACAACAGGATGCAAACAATTAAGATGGCAGTGGATTTTAAGAGACTAATATTGCTAAGTTTTTGTGTGTTTGTAGTGACTTTTCTGATGTGGCATGCAGTTTGGAGGCTTTGAAGCTAGCTGACCTGTCATCAAAGCAGGAACAGTCTTCAATACACAAATTACTGGAGAAAGCTACACTCAAGTAAGTTTGCAAGATCTGAGGTTTCTCGCAACAATGAATATGAAAATTATTGTCTTCTGGCATGTGATGCCATATGGTCTGGTAGATAATCACCAGCATTTCAGAGGAACCTGTTGCCTCTACCATTAAAACAGTCTTTAGCTGGGCCACTGTTTCTTGGCTCCATTTTTATACTCTATCCCCATTATATTTTATCTTATATTTCTTTATTTTGACTTTTACTTGTCATTTAATTTTATATTACTATTATTTTATTTTGATCTAACCATGCCTTCCTCTTATGTTTCTTTGCTTGCTTCCCTTAGGCATCTGCTTCTTATTTTTATTTTATTTTGCTTTTATCTGTTTTGTTTTCACTCCTGTTCATCCTCTCTTTCCCACCTTCTTTCCTTCCTACATTTTCCAGCTCACCTTACGTCTCATCTCAGTATATTTGTCACTGTTCAGTGCCACCATCTCTTATTATTCAGCTCCCTGCTTGGTCTCGTACCCTGAAGATGGAGGCAACATGATCTTCCAAGACACTGGTGGCAATCTGCTGCATTACACAGCGTCATATTCTGGAAGTCTGTTGTCTTCAAGCGAGTTAGGTTCTTATTTGTAGCTCTTACTTGTTTGGTACTCTTAGAAAGCTGAGGTGAGATGGCGTCTGTAACTAAACCAAGGACAGAGTGTTCAGGAAGAAAGTTGGCAAATATCATATTTGCCTGCATATGAATGCACCATTTTTCCAGAATGTTTTCCTGTTTCAGTACCAAATGAAGCCTAATGCTTTAAGTGGGCCCTTAGTGATCATGACAGGGCACATTCTCAGGTTGTGGGTGGAGAAGACAGACTCTAGGTATGGAGGGTAGCTGCAAATATATTGCATAACCGCCACAGGCAGCCAACAGGTGATAGTTCTCTAGCTTGGCAGTTGAGCAAAAATTTAATGATACCTAACCATAATAAAATTAGGGTGTTATAAAATGTTACATTACTCCTTGGACTTGGTGGTGAGGTTATGTGAGCCCAGTAAACATGATTTCTGTAAAAGGCAGAAAATATTGTGGCTGTCTGGGCAACAACTAGCATCTGAAGGAAAACTAAAGGTTTCAATTCTTTCTTGTAAAAGACACTTTAAAATGTGATTAATTTGACACGTCAGTCAGGCAGTTTCTTTCTTGTATAAATATATGGATATAACATCTTAGGATATGGTCAGGAAGATTAACTATAGATGGGGTTTGGATTGGTAAATGGATTTATTGAACTCTTACAGAACATAATTACAATTAACTATAGTGCTAACGCTAATTCAGACTCTGCAGTTTACTACAGCATGTATAGAGTCTTCTCAGTCTGCTATATAGTCACCGGTTGTCGCCTGGTAATGGCTTCCAGTGCTGTAGCTTCCTCAGCTTTCGTGTTGACGTCCACACTGGCTGGCAACTGTCTCACAACTAACTTCTATTCTTCTAACTGCCATTTCAAGACTCTCTTGTAAACACAGCTTCTCCTCGTTGTATAGCCTTTGCATGGACTGCATAAAAAACACCTCTCCCAACATTTCTTCTGTTGTTGCATCATGTAGCTGTTGCATGGACCATGCAGAGAACACCATTTCCTATTTACTCTACTGTTGTGTGTTATGAATCTGTTCCCTAGCAACAGGCATGTTTTCAGAGTTGTTACCTAGCAACAGCTGTCTCTGCTGGTTTCACAGTTCTTGCCTTGAGCAGATATGCCACACTGTATAGTCTTCAGTGCTGAGAGTGATAGTAAATAACAAATTAAATAAAGTGAAAAAGGATACAAATTGGTACTTAGCTCAGTCATTTGTGGTATTTATTTTATGAAATTAATTTAGATTTAAAGAGGAGCAGAATATCAGATGTTACACCTACAGTAATTGATCAGTAATTATGATGAGTACATTACAAGTTTCTATGCAGTTTATGCTCCTGAATCAGTAACAAGTGATATCCTGTTAATAGTGTAATTATGTTGAACATACTATTCTTGTATAGGTTTTTTAAGATTGGGTTGAGATTAGTTCTGTCTTGAATGGGCCTGTTATAGCAGCCCCTGGTGATAGATGAGTGTGGAATGGAGCATTGGTGTAGTGTTAATTGGCAAGGGAAAGTCGAAGTTCTCAGAGAACCCCTGTCCCCATTACTTCTTTATCCTCCTCAAATTCCACACGGACTGCCACAGGATTAAATCCAGGCCTCTGCATCCATATGTAACATGTTGTATTATTTATTTCAAGAAATAATATATGGCCCGTCACGGTAGCCGAGTGGTCTAAGGCTTGTACTGTCTTCGCTTGCTTGGAAACCGGGATCGTGGGTTCGAATCCCACTCAGGGCATGGATGTTTAGTTTGTGTGTGTGTACAGGTAGAGGCCTTGCGACGAGCTGATCACCCGCCCAAGGAGTCCTACCGAATGTGTAAGATCTAGAAAAACCAAAGTGAACGGAGAAGTTCATGGAGGTAGGCCTAGGCCCACTGGGGCTGTAGTGCCAAGGAAAAAAAAAAGAATATATGAGTGCTTCAGTGTAATAGTCATCCATATGACAGAAGGTGTGTTAAGAAGCAATCAAATACCTCATACTGACAACCATACTAGATATTCTGGTCTCTGAAGTGTTCCAGAGGTGAATGATCATAATATTGTTTAAAATAATCTTACTTTCAATAAAATTAATACAACATTTACAGTCTACCATAATCAGTGTATTGGTAGCCAGAAGTGAACTTGGCAAGGATGACCACAGCATGCAATTAATGCCTTTGTACACTCTCAGTTCATTTTCTTGAATTGGTGATTTTACAATACTTTGTCATCTGCTGAGAGAGTAAAGTGGCTAGGCTGTTGGGTGGATGACCAGAGTTTAATTCCCAGCTGGGATTGCTATTCACTCTTCATCCAGGCTGACTCTGAAATCCATCTAGTGTCCTATATGACGGGTTCATTACCTATGTGCAAAGTGACTGGGGTGGGTAACTATCTGGTGTCAAGTTTAAGAGTGTGAAACTATACTGCCATCTCCCATTGTGTCTATGTTGTGAATCTTAAGCAGTGGTGCATTGTTACCTTCACCTCTTTGCCAGCCGTAAAGATGCTATAGATTTTGATTAAATATGTTATGATAATTATGAATCATACTAATGTCACACTGTAAATGTGAAGCACTGATCTTGTTTTCAGGATTCCCAACTTATGGCAGTGCTACCAGCTGTCCCTTCACCTGGATTCTGTCACTGAACGTTGTCCTGTTGACATCTCATCACAGACTGCTGGAAAGAATGGGTGTGAACCAGCATTCCCAAATGACTGGGCTTACCTTCCTATTCTGATACTGTACAACCAGGCCCATAGTGGGTAAGTTTCGTTGTGTTATTTATAATGTCTGCATGGAGACTAAAAGCATGACATTGACTGAGATTGATTCTCAATATATTGTAATGTGACTCCTAAGAGTCAGAATTTTGGAGTCAGAAATGTGACAGAGGCATCCATTGCTCTGCAGTGTTGCTCACTGACAGCCGCCCGCATGTGCACAATATGACCAGTTCGAGACAGTCACAGTCAATCCCCGACTGGCACCTACAAACACAACAGGAGAAGAACTGTTGTGGGGCAGGGTTTTCTAATCAGTTTGCAGCAAAGCAATATATAGAGAGCCGATTGGTTGACAAAGGTATCACTGTTATCAGAACCTGAAGCCTAGTGATGTGTCTGCAATGACAAAGCCAACAAGGAAGAGTGATAAAAACTTTTCTTTTATTTGTTTCATTCTGGTCCATCACACTAACAATTACAAAGACAAAATAACTCCGTCCAGTGTGACTAAGTTTTTACTACATGAAAACTTACCACCCTTACATGTTTCAGTCCTTACGGACCATCTTCAGAGGGAACATCGATACTTATTTGGAAACTACTACACAGTGGGTGTTCTGAGTGCTAAAATACATACACACATAGTGCCTGGAATGCACAATATACACAAAATACAATATTAAAGTTTTTAAAGTTTTCAAACTTTGTTGTTTAAGTTAAAATTTATAAACTAAATAGGTTTGTGTCCTTTTCTCCTATCATCTTTCTTGATGGAGGCTGTCTATCTTGAGAAGGAGATTCTTGGTATCATCCTGTATTTGTTCATGGTGTGCTGTGTTGTGATAAAAACAGATTATGAAACACTAGAACATACTTGTATACTGTGTAATTATTTGTAAATAAGACAGTTCTGTGTCCTACTTATGAAGCTGAGCCCTTCTTGAGGAGAAGCCAAATCTGCAGCNCGACTTTTTCACAATCACAGCAGCTTTCCTGGTATATTAAAGTTTTTAAAGTTTTCAAACTTTGTTGTTTAAGTTAAAATTTATAAACTAAATAGGTTTGTGTCCTTTTCTCCTATCATCTTTCTTGATGGAGGCTGTCTATCTTGAGAAGGAGATTCTTGGTATCATCCTGTATTTGTTCATGGTGTGCTGTGTTGTGATAAAAACAGATTATGAAACACTAGAACATACTTGTATACTGTGTAATTATTTGTAAATAAGACAGTTCTGTGTCCTACTTATGAAGCTGAGCCCTTCTTGAGGAGAAGCCAAATCTGCAGCTACTCAAGAATTTCCTAGCATTTTATGGACCTCGAAGGTTCATTACCATGTTCACAATAGCCCCCCCCACTGGTCCCTATCCTGATTCAGATCAATCCAGTCCATCCCATCCTATCTCTCTAAGATCCATTTTAGTATTGTCCACCCACCTACACCTTGGTCTTCCCAATGTCTCTTTCCTTCTGGCTTTCCCACCAATATCCTATATAGATTCCTCTTCTCCCCCATTCATGCTACATGCCCTGCCTGCCTCATCCTCCTTGTAAATCTAATTATGAATCCAACCCCTGTGTCTAGTCATTGTCATCAGGCTATTTCTGAACTACACATGTTTAAAACCCAGAAGATATAGTCACTGCTGTTAGAGCCCAATTTCCAGCATTGTAGTCCTGTGTGGGGAGGCTGTTCTGTGTAATGTCTACAGATTTGACAAACTGTGCATGTAGGATGGCTCTGCTTATTGCCTGCTTCTTGCTTGGCTTAACCCTTGAACCTGAAGGTCGAGGTGAGATGTTCCTCTGAAATATCAGGCTTTCTCTAAACTGCATGACATTACAGCCCAGAAGAATGTACTCTGCATAATCAATACAATGAAAATCTCAAATCCAATATTTATACTTGATGGTGATTTACAGAGGCATATACATTTTATAATACATTTTATACATTATACATTTAATATGTATTTGTACATTTGAATGTATTTTACTTTTTTGTGATAAACATGGATAGGGCTGATCATATGTCATTGCAATGACATGAAGACATATCTAGCATACTTAGGCTGGTACTTGTAATAGTTTATACATAAACACATAATAAAAAGTTACATATATTTATTTACACTTCTGATTGTGTTCAATCCTTATCAGGTGCTTTTAAAAACTGATTATTCAGTTTTTATTGTTAGGAGATTTTTAAAAGGTGCTTGTTGGCGTTGTGTAAGATACTACGCCATCACTCAGAGAATCCTGTGTTTAATCTCCACTCACCTCGGCCCAGATTATTCTCAGCAAAGACTGAAACAGAAGCTTAGACTTTGGAAATAATGAAGAATACCATGCTCACAGTTTGGTTCAGAATCCATATCAAGTTAAGACCATCTGCTGGCTAAAATTCTTGCACAATTTTGGCCATCATTTATAGTGCAGGATCAGCTTCATGGATGCTGCTACCTTAGAAAGTATATTCTTTTGCTTGGGCTTACTAGATTGTTTACCTTATCTGTTTTATGGTATTCTGAAGAACACTAGTGAACAAAGTCCAGAAACACAGCCCAAGTGTCCTACACCATTGTCAGAACCCTTTAGAATCTACTTGGATTTATTTACCTTACCTGGTGGATAGAGTGTAGAGAAGTTGGTAATTATATACCTGGAGGCATTTGATCCATATTATTTTTCTGTGTAATCTCTTCACAGATATGATTAGATTTAAAATGGATGGGCATATTAAATATACCTTGCCCCATGTCTACCTTCAATATGTGAATATGAGTTACATAATTTTAAAAGTGTTGCATGCAGGATAATTTTGTTTCCAATAACTTCATTTAAGACATCCTTCCTGGCTGATACTTAATTTTCGCAAAGAGTCTTGTCTGCATTTTGATTTAAAAGAGTAGGAGATTGTGTATTTGTGATAGCAAAATTTAGACCATTGAAGGTCAAACTTCTGGTCTTCACAAATATAAATCACTGCGTCCAATGTGACCTGTAAGTTTTTTACTACATGAAAACTTAACACCCTTACATGTTTCGGTCTCTGTGGACCATCTTCAGAGGGCAAACATCACTACAAATAGGAAACCACCATCACATAAGTTGTTTAGACGTAAAGTACGTACACTTATATGCTACAATGCATAGTACACAAAATAGAACATTTCACAAACAGCAGTTTCCTGGGAATGTAAAGTTTTTAAAAAATGATATAAAATTTCTTGATGCTAATTAAAAATAATTTTTTTTTATTGTCAGTAATTAAAGTTCGTAAACCATTCAGGCTCGTGTTCGTCCTCCCATCGTCCCTCTTGTATGGGGCAGATATTGTGCCACCTGGCTATCTTGATGTGGAGGTTCTTTATATCGTCCAGGGTTTGCTCGTGGCTGCTGTGCTGTTTTCACTGTTCCTGTTTTTAAAAACTTTACATTCAGTGTATAATGAATATTCTATGAAAGTTTCATTTATATCCCATAATAACTGGCTCTTCTGAAACAAATTTGTCACCACAAAGCTGAAATTTAAATTCCCAAACAGGAAATCCTCCCACAGCACAGCAGTAACTAGGGATTAAAATGCCGCCACACTGAAGAGTTAAATTGATACTGAATTTCACCGGATTGAAAGAGACTGTGTAGGATTTCAGCAAAGTGGTAATGACATTTCTGTTTTGCCTTGACAGCTGTGTTAGATCAATGTGTCCTAAAATCTAATTAGCATGACTAGTTTGGAATTACGTTTCCTGTACCAAATTTCAATCTTATCTGAGTTTTCACATCAATCAAAAGATACACTTAATATAGTTTATAGCACACAGTATTTTACAAGCTTGTATAAAAATATTGACAAGTACAGGCAGCTTCTGAGACTTGGGTGGAAACATATTTTGCAGGAAAGGGGACAGCAGTGATAATGCTGGGTCTGTTGTCAGTTCACTGCAATGGCTGCTGATAATGGAGTGTTTGCGACCACAGATGATGGCAACCATCAGTGTTACTGCCAGATTCTGTCGCCTTTCGACTGTATTTTTAGCAGGTGAGAGAGCAGCCTAAGAGTTGTTGGTCATCTTTCTGTGTGACCTTGTTGTTCAGCCTAGGCAGTAGCATTTTCCCCTGAGAACCCTCCCATGAAAATGTACAGAAAGCATGGATTCTAGACCTAAACACATGGAGGTAAGTGGTCATCATCTCGTTCAGATTGCAGTGCTCTTGAGACATGAGTCTGGGGAAAGAGTATTGAAAAGAAAGATAGCCTGAAACTTTGGCTGTGATGGTAATGCTAACCTTAGTGTGTAGAGAAATGTAAGTTTTCTTCTTTGCTCTTTCCCGTCACAGACCTAATAGAGAGCACCCAAAAATGTTACAAAATTTACTTCTTACTCTGAACACAGGTATATGTTAGCTATAGCTGTTAAGATGATGTGAAGATATTGTGTTAATATTTTTGGATGTGACACAGATCCTTATTCCCAGGCTTTCTTTTTTCATTACGGTTTTGTAATTTAAATGTTATTCCTTTTTTAAAGTTTTAGCTGTTATAAAGGGGCATTCAACAGGAAAGTAACCATGTCCCATGTGAAGAAAAGAAATGAGGTTTCCTTATAGCACTTGATGATTATTCATTTGGTTACGAAATCCCATTGTCACAAAAGTGTGCTCTTGTTCCCTATTCTGACCTGTCTGAATCTTCACAACCCATTTTTTTAAGACCCATATTAAATATTATCCTTCCATTTATTCTTAAATTTCCCAAGTATCTTCTCCATTGAGATCTTTTCATCTGAATTTACCCCTTGTGTGCTATGTGCCTCACCCATATCAAAATTTGATTTACTTTATTTACTTGCAAAATTTGTGCAGCCCATTTTTGCACAATGGAGCTGGGATAGCTGAGTCATCATAACAATCAACCAAGGAAACAGTGATGAATTTCCAGTAGGGCAAGTGATTTTACTTTTCTCTACAGTGACCGTACCAGCTCTGGAAACAACCTATCTTTCTATCCAGTGGGTACTGGGGGCATTAACGTCACCATTTACCTCCATAGTATCCATAGGTCTTTATGGCCCGATGATTAAGTAAGCATACAGATAGTTTTACTCTCCCCCCCTACTTTTAGATATGATATTTTTGGGGGAATTAAATACCATATTTTTATCTCCACATTTCAGCCACGAATTTATGGTTACATCTGTATGAATATAAGCAATTAATCATGAGGCTTTCTAATAATTTTTATACATTGTTGGTATGATCAGATATGTGTGTAGAGTCTTGAAGTAACATAGTCATTGACTTGAATTAGTGACCCATTAATGCACCCATCCAGTTCAAACTCTGGAAATGTTTCCTTGAGAGAACACACTGGAGACAATAAGAAAAACACTTTGTTTGTCCAATCTATTGTCTTACCAGTTAGCACAGAACATCATGATGTGTAGGTGTTACATTGCATCAGACACTTCGAATTCATATTTGTTGCTCGTGTCCTTTTGCTCAGCGCATCCATGGTTTCTGCCCTGCGGATAATTTATAGCATGTTTATCAGAAGCTCTCTGTGGATTCTATTTCAGAAATTTTAATTGAAGAGGACTTCAGTAATTTAGCCACTTTTTTGTAATTTTCCTTATAGAAATGGTAAAATTTTAACATGCCCATACAGAGTAAATTTCACAATATCTTTGAGTATTCTCTATTATGTACACTGTATGATGTAGGTAAAATTATAACAGTTCTTCTTTTTGAAGGCAGTGACCTGTTTCTGGAACCAGAAGTCCACCACCACCTTTCTGCCCTGTTGCATATCCTCCTGAGGAGCAATTCTTCATTTGACTTCAATGAGAAGATCCCTGGTCTCACTTCATTCTATGATTTGTAAGTACTGCAGTCATAATGATACCATATGTTGTCTGAGAGCCAAAAGGGTGACTATGAGAAACAAACAGGATAATTTGAACCCCCCCCCTCAAAAAGAAGAAGAAGAAAAGAAAAAAGAAAAACCCACCAACAGCAACAATCACCATCACAATGAGACCCCCATTTAAGATTTTTTTTTGTTAGCATTAAAATGAAGTAACCCTTAATATGATGAAATTTAACACTAAGGATGATCCCAAGGTTATTGAAATTGAATATGAAATGAAGAGAAACAAATGAGGGACTTCAAAGTTCCCTGTTTCCACCAATGTAGTAAGGAATACCCAATACAATGAAACTTCACAAGTTGGCTGTAAACTGTAAAATAAACAGATTTACTGAGCATGATCAGATGGTTAGTGCTGTGCTTCATATTCAGGATATTCCAGTTTGAAGTTAGACAGGAACAGGTATACTGATTTCAATTTTTGTAGTTTTAATCAGACCGTCCAGACAGATTCTGTGATTGTATCTAAATTAAGCCAGAACTCCTTCCTTTCTCGGTCAGTATTCACTCATCATTTTATGACACTATGTGCGAGGGTTGGAACTTTAATAGTGGCAACTATTTATTTGCAACTTATACAAGTGACTCATAATGACGCCATTCGTTTGATTGGCGTTTCATTTGTGGCTCATACGATTTGGCCCATGTCTCATCCAGCTTAATGATACAGCATAAGAAAGCCTCTTCTTCACGCTCATAGTGCTCCAAGTGGTTACGAGCAGTGTCAGCTCGTAGCCATTTCTGCATTTCCGTCAAATGATGCGGAAACCCATCATGATGCAATTTTTCTCATGCCCAGACGTTCCTTCAGAATGTGAAGCACAGTCATATGCACTAATCCTGTCTCAGGCCAGCTCACAAATCATATGGCGTCGATCACTCTCCAGTAACACGGAAAGAGCATACACTTCTTCACCGACACTAGGACAACCTGGCCGACGCATGTCTGCCACATTTTGATGTCCCTCATTGAAGGCTTTTACCCACCTTGCCACTGTTCTAAGGCAATGCAGATTCCCCGCAAGCCTCTTGAAGACCTTGATGACACTGTCATGCTATATGGCCTCTGGCACATTCAATCTTTATCCAACTCCGTTGTTTCTGTTTTCAAAACATCGTGACAACACTACATTAGACCACCAGCTAACACGAGGCTCTGTTCTTCTCGTCACTGCCCATGCACATGATGTGAGAAGGGAGAGTCCATTTGCATCTTTCAGATGCCAAAATTATAGTTGAAGCAACATTTCAAACTGTTCACATTATGAAACTCACAACTGTTTATGTTCTGAAATGGGGAATATTGTCAGTCTTTTGATAATTGTACAATTGTTGGCTATCAATGATTCCATCCAAATGCCACCATATTTACCAGGTGGCTAGCCTCCATAAAACACTTCCATTTTTGGGTCTGTAATGACTAATATTCAGTTACTTTTCTATCATTACATTTTTTTATGTTTTCTATTTAGATTCTGACCACTGACTGTTGGTCGGGCTCTGTACTTAATATATTATTAATGGATTTGAAGTAAATGTGAAAACACTGCTTCTGCTTATGAACTTAATGATAAGTCAGATGTGCAGAATGCGGTATGGTAAGATGAGTGCAAAGAGAGTACACAATTTAGTAGTTGTTTATTATAGCTATTGATCCTTTGATCACAGGAGAGATCGGAAAGGGTTGTTAGTGAGGGTGTGTAAGTGAAAAGTTAATGGACAGAATTTCATTTGTGCTGACTGATACAAAAATAATCCATCACGTCAGTGTGACCAGTGTACAGATGTTAAAATATGTGAAGAAAGCATACAGGATCCAAGATAGACAGTTGGACAAGTTGAAAAGGGTTACAGGGTTACCTTTATGCAAATTAATATGATTTTGCAAGTTTTGTTAAAGTGCAGCCAATTGTGAGAGGTAACTGGTTGTACACATGCATGTGTGCACACACACACACACACACACACACACACACACACACACACACACACATAGAGGATGATTCAAAATCCTGCAGTCAAACAGCTTTAGAAGGCTGTGAAATAATTAGGAGCATTGCCCTTGTTAAGTTATGATACTTGTTCATTTTTTAAGAAAATGAAACAGTTGTTCATTCATATAGCATGTATACCCATTGTTAAGTAATGGCTCTGTAGAGAACAGCCATTGCTGGGTAATGGCTATAAACAGAAACAGAGGAGTGGTGTTCTCTACATGGTCCGAGTGATAACCACATGATGCAACAATAGGAGGACTGCCACGGAGGTGTTTTCTATGCCATCCGTTCCAAGGCAACATTTGGTGTTGCTTGTGCATTGTGAGTGAGTTTGGCAATTGGAAGCCAGTTAGTTTAACTCAGGATCTGCAGTGATATAGGGGACAGCCAAGAAAGATGTGAAGTCGTGAACATGGAAGTTGAGGGATTTACAGCATTGGAAGCCATTACCATACAATGACTGGTGAAGACACAGCAGACTGAGAAGACTTAGTATGTGCTGTAGTGAACTGCAGAGTGTGTGAATTAGTGATAGCACTATAGTTACTAATAGTTCCAATCTGTAAGAGTTCAATAAATCCATTTACCAATTCAAACTTTGACTGTTACCTCTCCATAAAATCGTGACAATATATACTTTAGGTTATATACACTGAAAACAAATCAGTGGAGCCAGATGGCATTTCTGGTGAAATGCTAAAACTGGGTGGGGAAGCCATGATTCCATACCTTGCGTGTTTATTGGGTGTAACAATTAATAATGCCACTATCGCAAGTGACTGGAAAAAAGCCATAGTTTTTCCTATTTACAAAGGGGGTGTTCAATCGTAGGTCTCAAATTACAGACCAGTCACTTTAACCTCAGTAGTCTGCAAGCAAATTGAATACGTTATAGCATCATACCTGAGGAAAACATGGGATAAAAAGGATTGGTTATTTGAGTGTCAGCATGGATTCAGACTGAGATATTCCTGTGAAAGTCCAAGTCATCACAGTTTGCCAGGACATTGCAGACTCACTGGATAAGGGAAGTTTTTTCAAAGGCCTTCAGTTTAGTCCCCCATTATTGGCTGCTTACGAAAATTGTGGACTCGAGGGTAGTTGTATGGTTAAGGGAATTCCTTTTGGGCTGTACACAAAGTTAGAGTAGGAGGGCAATTACTGGAGGAAGTCAGAGTAACCTCAGGAGTACCACAAGGAAGTGTACTGGGTCCACTTCTGTTCCTCGCGTATGTACACAGAGAGAGTAGTAGGGCAGTTATTGGAGGAAGTCAGAGTAACGTCAGGAGTACCACAAGGAAGTACAGTGGGTCCACTGCTGTTCCTTGCATACATAAACGATATTTGGAGAAATGTTGAGTCAACTATTAGACTTTTTGCAGATGACTGTATAATATATAGGAAAATTGCAACTAATAAAGATATGAAAAAGTTGCAGATAAATCTGAACAGACTTGGGGAATGGGAGGCTGAAAATGCAATGATAATTAATCCAACTAAAAGTAAGGCAGTTCGTTTCACGAGGGCCCGAGTGACGGAACCACTAAATTATTCATTAGGATACACAGTAATTCCTGAAGCGAGCAATTGTAAATATTGGGGAATAATTTTAAGCAGCAGTCTAAGTTGGGCTGATCAAGTTAATTGCACAGTGAAGAAAGCTTGGAAGGCACTTCATTTTACAATGCATATTCTAAAAAAGGCAAATAGCAACACTAAATGTTTAGCATACACATCTTTAGTCATCCTGCTTGCTGGAATCCTTACAAGGAGGCACAAATAAATATGTTAGACCAGGTGCAAAAGAAAGCAGCTACATTTGCACATCATAGGATCAATTTAAACTGGGGAACCTTGACACAGCGCTGAAAGATAGCTCGCATATGCGCTCTCTTCAAAGCATACTCGGAAGAACAGGCTTGGAAGACTATGGGTGATAGATTACAAAGGCCGTTCTATCTGAGCAGGGGCGATCATGACAAGAAAATTAGGAGCAGAGAGCAGCAGACTGGTATCAGGAAATACTCCTTTGTACGAGTAAATGGGGGTACACGGTAGCGTAGTTGGTTGAGGAGCTATGCTACAAGCCGGAAGGTCGCAGGTTCAAGTCCCGATGAGGTCATTGGATTTTTTTCAGTTGACCTAATCTTTCCAGCCGCACTAGGCCCTGGGGTTTACTCAGCCTCTAACAGAAATGCATACCAGGAATTAATTAAATTTTCCTGGGAAGTAAAGCACAGCCGGCGTGTAAGGCTGACAACCTTACTGCCATCTTTGAGCCAAATGTCTAGATAATGTGGGACCATCAGTGTCTCACAACCCTACGAGTCTTCACAGCCTGTTACAGGGATAGCTTTACTTTACCTACTCCTTTGTAAATAGGACCATACAGATCTGGAACCCACTTCCTTCAGATACTTTAGGGACTCTCTCCTGCAAACCAAGTAATTTTAGGAAAAGGTTAGTAAAGTGATAAATGAGGCGACGTGAGGGTGGGGTGGAAGTCATCAAAAAGATGCTGTGAAGTGAAGTGAAGTGAAAAATGTTAAGGTTGGGAGGATTATGTAAGGGTAGTAAAGCGAAATGAATGGAAAATGAGAACACTATATTACGCATTGATTACTGTTAGTTTGTTATAGCATGTATAGTATGTAGTATAGTTTTATAGTATGTTTCCCTTTTCATTTGTGTGCTATGTGTTGTTTGAACGTGTTTATGCGTGTTATTTGTCTGTTTTCTTATTGTAGTAATGTGTGTTATTTGTCTGTAATCTTATTGTAGTACCATTGCCATGGATGAAAACACATTTGCAGTTTAATAATAATAATATCCTTACACATTTTTTATATTGACAGTGATTTTGAAGTACACAACTTCTGTATATAACTAGAGTCATCTTTATTAAATTCTGCTGCATTCGAAAGAAACCTCAGTTGGAAATGTACTTATTTATACCTTTATAATTTTAAAGTGTAAATATATATCAGTTTCTTCATACAACTTTCTTACTAGGATAATTAATCTTTCAAGTCCCTCTGCCATACATGTAGGCCTTAATGTTGTTAGGTACACACAACTGGTTGAACAGTTTGCTGCTGTGTCATATGGAGATGAGCTGTTTGGTCACTTTTTGCTTATCCCACTACAGCAGCGCCATTCTCCAAGCTACAGAAAACTTGTGTGGAGTGAACACGCTGCAGTACTGAGAGTCCTACGTACCCGTCCGGAACAGGTAATATTGCTCATCATGTTGCTACAGTCGAAGGCCTTATAATTGTGTATGTAACGGATTATTTGTATGTCAGTTGGCTAGAAAGGAAGGAGCATTTACTTGGGCAAGGATCCAGATTAGTACTTACATGAGAGTGATACTGCAGCCTCTAAGCTTGCTTGTAACTATCTGAGTATTTGTATCCCATGTAAGTTGTTATCAAACTGAACAGTCTGCCTTTTTTTTTTTTTAACCCGTTGCCGTGGTTCGTCGTGTATGTTTCGTCAGGGATTTAAATCGTCTGGGGGGGTTCGGCGTGTATGTTTCGTCCAGCTGCACACCTATGTTATAACGCCCATAATAATTGATGGTTTTGCTGTAGATTGTTAGATTTTTCGCTGGCCTGTTGTCACAAGAACAGAGTATACTAAGCCAACGAGTTTAGCTGAGATAAGTCATTGTTACATATGCCTGTCTTGCAGCAAAGTTCCTGTGGCTCTTGCTAGCGGTTTCACCGCTATGAATGTCGTTTATTCTTTGCTACGAAGTTATAAACAGGAGAGACGTGATGTGATGTGTTTATAATATGATATTGCCCCGAGCTGGCCACACTGACACACTCAAATGGCATTCTTAGAAGAGGGTTGTCCAAAATTTTATTCTTGTAAAATCGATTGCTTTCGCACAGTACATAGCACCCATTTCTTAGAAAAACGCCACAATTTAAGGCAGAACACTGTGGTCACCCCCTGAGACGATACGGATGTGTGTGGGGGAGGGAAAAGTACTCATTATCGCTCCAGTTGACGCCATTTTATCGTACTGACCTTGGTGGTCGTTTCGAGGGATGACCATAAATATTTTTTTTGAGCCAGCTAAGCTCTGCTTTCGTTCTCTATATACCAGCCAGTTCTTATAATAACTTCATGAATTCTGTGGTCACCCCTACGACATCTGGGGAGCCGAAAAGGTTGGAATCTGAAACGCAGAAGCACCAAACCCTTGTTATGATAACACAAAGGTTGAATTTACTGCAGCTAATCTGTCAAAATATACGACTCACGGAGGGACATTTCCACTTGTATTCCCCCCACGGGGAAGAAGGCAGGGCCGCACAGAAGTGTGGTTAGAAAAAAGAAAGCAAAAGTAAAGATACGCAGTATTGGTTTGGTGATTTGAGCCAGCGCTGTGTTTAGACTAATGCTTCAAGGCGTCACCTGCTTACATAGCCGAGATACCGGGTGCTCATATTATAAGGCAAGGTTATAAAACCATCTTTTAAGATCATTTTAGTGAAAGTTTCATCCTTCAAAGCGTACCATTCACTGCTCAAATACTAAACAACCTGCTTCCATTGAAGATATAAAGGGGGTTCATATTATAAGGTAAGGTTATAAAACCACCTTTTAAGATCATTTTAGTGAAAGTTTCATGTTCCTATCTCATAGAATTTAAGAACAATGATGAATAAATAATTTTCGAGCAAAATTTAAATGGCCGGCTGAATATATTACCGCAGGAGCCGCGGCCGCGGAATTTAAATGACCACGTCAAAGGGTTAATCTGTTACAGTAATACAGTAACACTATAAGAAATTTCATTGCACCTTCTTATAGATCCACACTCTATTACAGAGTTCTGCTACTGATACTTCTATGTAGGCTTTGTGAGAACTGATGTGTAATTTGGCCATATATTTTTAAAATGCTATTAACTAAGTATATAAATCCACTACACATTTGAACTTACCAGTCATCAACTTATACCACTATACTGTCAAATCACTCCCCACACTGTGACTTGTAACTTACATCTTCATTGTAATCACTTTCTCTATATTTGCTCCATAAAAGGCTTGAAGTTTTTATGGCAAATATGGGTGATGGAATCTTGATGGATATGAGATTTTCATGGCACTGACTAGGAAGAGTATTATGTTCTAGGATGTGATGCAGTGTCTTGTGGTAGAAGTTTACCTACTTTTTGGAGGATTGTACTACTTCCATCTTAGGGTCAAAGATAAGCCAAGCAAGTAATCAACAAGGAGCAAGCAGGTATTTCTGGTTACTTGCTTTGCTTACCCTTCAACCCTGAAGAGGCAGTGCAGTCCTCTGAAACATCTATATACTTATATCAGATTGCACAGTATCATATCCCCGAAGATAGTGAGTGCTCTTGATATAATGTTCTCAGTTAATTATCTGACATGATACATTTCCCTGATGATATAAGCACTGAAAATTTTTGGAACATTGGATATCTGCTCCAGATTGGCTCATCTGGTAGCCTGAAAAGACCTTTTCTCTCGATAAAGTTACTGAAGATTAGTAGTTAGAGAGATTAGTTAGAAATTGAAATTATGGAAAGATTGTATTATAATACCTGTAACAAGCAAATTTTGCCTGAAACTGAGAATTGTGTATATTTTATATTGTTACATAGTCTTCATGCTTAATTTATATTTTCCTGTATTTGTCATTATTATCATATATAAATGTGCAGTGAACTTAAAATATATTTGTCCCATGAACAATGAAACATTCTTTGTTCGAGCATTTTATGATATGGCAGATATTGAATGAGGTGATCATAAAAGTTTATTTAATACTGTAAATACTGTGGCAGCCCAAATTTTGTGATGTGATCTTATAGCATGAGCATGATGATGGTTCTTAAAGTAAAATTCCCACACTAGATAAGCCCTCCATTTTGTACACTACACACGAAGAATGAAGCACAAGTTGAAACGATGCAAGGTAATTTTGGTCTACTGTGTTGCTCTTTTCAGCTTGCTGTCCCAATCCAGGCATATTTGGAGCCCTGTGAAACAGATCCATCACTTCTCATATGTTACCTTCATGGACTGGCAACAGGTGGGACTTTAAAATACATACATTTTATATGGGAAGTAATGTTAAGCTGGAATTTCATGTGTTTTTTTTTCTTCTTTTTTTGTACTTCACATAAATGGACTTATTTTCAAAAAAAATATTATATGTAACTAACTCCATGGTGCACAGTCCTTGAGAAGTGAGCACGTGTTGAATAAGCCAAGAAATTCCCTTGCTATTATGGAACCTGAAGGTTTATTGCTCTTTTCACAAGAACCATCCACTGGACCCTATCCTGAATTAGATGAATTCAGTCTTTATTTTCATTTCCTCTATCTTTCATATCCATTTCAGTATTGCTCTCTCATCTGTGCCTAGCTCTCCAAAAAGTGGTCTCCATCATTGTCATCTTTGAAATTGATTTATAAACAGTGTATGTTTAATGATGATGATGACACATTTCCTTTATTTGAGTGCTTACCAACAGCAAGTAGCCTTATCACAGGCTAGAGCTGGATGTATACAAAACTAAAGCTAGACTAAGAATCAAATACTGAAAGCTAAAGCGGTACAGATAACACTTTACTAAAATAACAGGAACCATGAACTGCTAGGATTAAACAAATGGAAAAGTATACTTGATATAATGTGTTTTTTAAAAACATCTAAAGATATGCAGATGCTGTTCGTAGCTGTGGCACAGCTTGATGGAGGGCTAAATCTTTTGATGAAAGTATCTGAAACAGATCTAGGCAATACATGGCATGATTCTAATTGAATTTCATTTTTGGGGATAATAATGCACAAACCAAAAGTAACCAGCTTTCTTTCGTCTTGGCATATGTTTTGCATATGAGGAAGTTTATGCAAAGTACATTCTACGCACTTTATTTTTCTTGTTATGTAATTGGCTTGTCTTAGCTCAGCTGAACTCCATAAACAGCAGCAGGAGAGTTTATACTTATTGTGCTTCTGCAGGTCAGGTACGGGATCTGTGGTGTCCAGTTCTGTACAAGGTGGCTGTTCACCATGTTGCCACATTTATCACTGAGCAGCCATGTACTTCAGTGGCCCAGCAACTTAATGCAAGAATTCAGCAGCTTGGCAACAAGGTAAACACTACAGTTTATATAGCATATATGTTCATGAGAATGATTAGAGTATCTCCATGTTTGTTTTATTATTTTAACAAATTTGGGGGAAGGGTATTGGCAATGAATTTGGATAGGAGTGGTCCTATGTGTTTAACATGAAGGAAATAAAATATTTTTCTACATGTTCATTCTACAAATAACATGTTATGTAACAGAATTTAAGGATTTGATTACAATAATTTTATTTTTTTTTTGTTACCCATTAATGTCACTTTATCAGCTACATCGAATTCTCTAGAATAACAAGGTGGCTGAAAAGAACTTGTAAAGAAGTAGATAAAGCATATTTTAAGATACTGCCCCAGGAGTGTTCTAGAGGAAATAAAGAACATTAGCTGTACTCTAAAGGATGTGACTCAGGTTCATAACTTAACAAAACTACTTGTAATAACTTTATCATTTATTTTTAAGTAAAATGATTCAGATGAGGATTTCAATGCTTAGTTATGGTAACAAACACAGCTCAAAATATGTTAACTGAATACTCAGAAAATAGCATAATGCCTGTAGGCAACAGTTACTGAGGATACACAGCCATGCATTTTGCATATACCTTTCATCACTACTCCCAATTTGATACAAGCTCTTTTCTTTCATTGCTGTGTAGTGCACATTTGTATATTGTTTGCTGTAACTGTAAGAATATGGCATTGTTGTCAATTTCAGCAATTACAGAACATTCTTCTCACATACTCAAACCAGAAGAAACTTGAAGACAGATAAAATGAGTCTGGGACATATGTAAATATGATTATCTGGAACAAAAATTGTCTCAAATCATTGCAACATTCAGACTCAGGCTGAAGTGGGATGGTCTGGAACCAAGGGTAGCATGTGACCTGCCATTATACCCCAACATTACGAGGATTTTAATCACTGAAGTGTAAGTGTGAATAACTACGCAAAATGTGATTATTTAGTGAAGCCACAGAATATAAAATTCTATTATCTTTCCATATATGAGACGGGCCTTCTTTCAGTCGATGCTGTTAGGGATGTAAAGAAAGCAACAGAATTTGGAAATGCAGCACAGTGTGTAACTTAAAGTTTATTATTATGTAAATTGCTAGTGTAAAAATGACAAGGAATTGTCATCATCATGCAGCAAGCAGTAGCTCCTTGCTTGTTTGTCTTATTCTTTGACCCTAAAGATGGAGGCAGCACATTACTCTGAAGTGTTCGTAAATAAAATAAAAGCTTGAAACCAAACTTACAAGAAAAGACAAATGAACTACGAGCATATGCAGTAAATCACTTGAAAATATGTAGTGAATGGTTCATACCGAAATACGTTGTGGAAACATATTGTTCAGCTCAGAAATTGTTAATAACATCCTGTCAACTTTCTAGATGTGCAAGTAAATAAAACAGTAACTTTGCCATTTGTTCTTATGGTTGTCTAGTGTCATCTCTTTGAGTGAATAACATAAATTAATTATATCTGAGAACGCTTTCTCATATATCTTTCTAGAGTGACAAGGAAAACCTCACCTTACATCTATCTAGTTTGATCCTGTATTCTTTTTTCTCTTTTCATGTACTTCTTATATACTTTAACTAATCTTAAATCTTTTCTTCTCTTCTTCACTATCCATGTAAGCTTTCAGCAACTCTGTAATCTTTTCATGGTCAGGAAATATGTTCATGACATTATTTGTGTCTATAGAACAGACAGTTTGGAGGAACCTATTTTCCTGGTGCACAGATTTTCAGTCCTACAGAGTTATTACTATTATTAGTGTTAATTGTTTTACTTTTGTGAAGATGTTATTACATAAACAGATTCTGTATGCATTAAATTTTGTTAGATATAGTCTCAAAGTATACCTCCACTTTTCTAGTCCAGTCATTTATTAGTTAATGCCACAGGACAGAAATGTAAGGACAATTTTTGCATGGTTGCAAGGCTGCTTTTTATTCTACAAGAAAGTTGCTTCAACAGCAATTTCATATTTTTCTCAGACCTAATACCGTACATAATTTGAGGACCTTTTATTATGTAGCACTGATGGCCCTCAAAAATTCACACATCCACCATCTTGCTATTATTGATTGATTATGATACTGTGGTGGCTTCCAGCGAAGTAACATTCATACCAAATTTCATGAAAGTTGGTCAGCTCATTCTAAAGTTGAAAGCAAGACACAGACAGATCACTGCATTCACAGTCGCATGCACCTGAACATACATGCACACACACCTTGGTGATCTCATAAGCCTACAGTAGCCTAAAAACAACAGGTTTCTTTTTATATATTAATGGAATCTTATATTTGATACATCTTGTATCTGTGATAGGTGCCATACTCATCCAAACTTAGATCTGCTTAATTCAGTGACTGACTTTCTGGATATTATCCATCATCCTATTTTCATTTAAAATGTTTCAGCGACTATACTCTTGTCTCCATCCTGAGGTATAAAACCTACTCATTTGGCCCCAGTCAAAAGAGCTAGTCTCAATCTCCAGACACCAGGGGCAACACAAGGCAGGATATATAAACCAGACACAACACAAACTATTATACACCATCATCACAGACTTCTAGATCGTAGTTCTACTTATCACAGCGAAGGATCATGATGGCATAAACCATTCAGTGAACAAAAATTAATTTATTTTCCAAACACATCAAAATTTGGATGGTACATATATATTTCAATATTTTTTACATTTTTAAATCATTATTATGCAAAAGTTGAACACGTGTATGTTTTCAGTACAATGCAGAACATAATCATAATAGTCACTTCAATTTTCTTTTTCAACAGCAACAACAACAATAACAACATTTAATAGCCACATAGTTCGAAAAGAAAAATATATATAATCCATGTGAAAAATACAGTTTTCTATATTATTTACTTTTGCACACTAATGTAACAAATGAAGCTCGCATATTGGAATCACTGTTCCCATGACCGGAGGTTGGGAAGCATTCAGAGTTAAAGGGGTGATACAAATGGTGATGATGCATCATGATGCATCTTTTGTACACATATATTTTTGTCTTAAATGCATCTTATTATCGTGTCACCTTTCTTCTTCTTCACTACATGTTTCAGCCATATATGATAATCATCAGGTGTTGTCTGTCTTGCTAAAATTGTTACACTGTGTGTCAAAATTGCATATCGCTTAAAATTAATTAACAACCTAATGTTTTTCATTGTGGTCATCATCCATTTGTTTAAAAGTTATTTACTGGAGTATTTCTTGTTTCGATTTATTCATGCAGCATGGGTATTACACATGCTATTTGTGCAGTTCATAAGGATGTTGCTGTAGTGTTATTATCAGTGTTGTTATGTATGCTGTAGGTTTTTCTGCACTGCTAGACTGGTTATGTTAAGTGGTCTGTGTGTGTTGATACAGACACAGACCACTAAATAAAACTGATAATAACACTATATCAACATCCTTATGAACTGCACAAATAACATGCAGATATATAATTTTGACATACAGTGCAACAATTTTAGCAAGATAGACAACAATTGATGATCGCTGTATATGGGTGAAACATGTAGTGAGGAAAAAGGGTGACTATATAATAAGTTGCATTTAAGACAGATGTTCAAAGGATGTATTAATGCAACATGATGCTTAAATGCAGTAATATCACCATGCAGCTTTTATCTTGTATGGGAATGTTTCAAGATACACATTTCAGTGTCAAATGGTTATGATACATGTATGAGTTGCCACCCATGGAAGGGATATCATTATACCTAGGTACCGACAGCAAGACATGTATCAACATCTCCAGTGAAAGAGATACAACTCTCATGAAATATATTGCAAAGATGGTGTCTTTACTTGTATCAATATGTATGGGTAGCCTGCATTTCAACCCTTAGCAATACCATAAGATGTATCACATACCACACTTATAGCAAATAAATAAATTGTTGAACCACACAATCTTAAACTCTGTTGTCTCAGTAGCACATAAATCTTGAGTTTCAGAAACTGAAGTCATTTTCATTGCTACAGACATTTCTCAGAAGTCATCTGTTGCAAAACAGTATGAGTTACATGAGCCTTGAACCTTTGATAGTAGTAGTAGTAATTATGAAGCTGTTTTTGAATGTAATGCCATGTTGTTTTGGATTACATCTGTCATTCCAAAAGAATCAACATCATTAATCTTCAGCAAAGTATTTTTAACCGTCAATCAGTAGTGTCACAAGACACCTCAAATCTCCAAATTTATATAACCTAACCTAAACTGTCTCAGAGTGATCAAACCCAATACACAAAAGCATTCATTGCAATACTATAAAGTACACAAAGATTAACAGTTAAGATAAATAAGAAATCATTAAATATATTTCTTTTTTATTAAATTGTGCTCACTCTGTAATTGGCCTTTGGAATGTTAAATTTGCACATACAGGACAGGGCTTGAGGTGGGGCGGGATGCAGCGGGATGGCATCCCGGTTCTTTTCTAAATGGCTTAAAAGCATCCCGTTACTTCTTTGGCAGTAAATGCGATGTACAATACCCAGGGCTTGAGGTGGGGCTGGATGGCATCCCGGTTCTATTTTCATTCCACCTCAAGCACTGCACATATATAAATAAGAATTGAATTGAAGTGAAGTGAATTATGGGGCTTTGACAGGGGAACGACTGCTTAATTCAAATGAAAGAAAATGAAACTCTTATTACTAAATGCATAGACTATGCTAAGAAACTATCATCTATTCAATATTTTCCAGGGAATTATTATATACAAAGCATGTAAATTAAGTAGATATTTGCTCTTCAGTCATCTATCATTCATCAATTCTTTATTGGAGTCCGTCACAACACAACAACATAACGTTCAAGGTTATCATTACCTTAGCTACATGTTTTGGCTTTTAAAGCCATCATCAGGCAAAACACATGATTACTATAATCACACACTATTGAACTGCAGTTTCATTGTGATAGTAAAGCTGGATACTTGATAACTGTTACATTGTAAAACACAAGGTATAAAAATACAATGAATTATAAAATTATTATAAAATGAAAGTTATGGAATAAGTTGCAATCTGTATTCCCAACGGAGCGGACAAAATACATTGTAAAATAGTCACCAGCCAAACAATTAATGTCAAATAATACTACACTTATACCATGGGCCTCCAAGCAGTTTACTATATGTATACAATTCTTGAATATACCGCTATATGTCCACGGGAATATAACAACAAGATTGCAACAACTGACTCCATGATGTGCAGTATCACATGAAGAATTGTTAACCATATTTTATTTCATAACTTTCGTTTCATAACAATTTTATAATTCATTGTATTTATATACCTTGTATTTTATAATGTAACAATTATCAAGTACCCAGCATTACTATCACAATGAAATTTCAGTTTAATAGTTTGTGAATATAGTAATCATGTGTTTTGTCTGATGATGGCTTTAAAAGTTGAAACATATAGCTAAGGTAATGTTAACCTTGACTGTTATGTTGTTGTGTTGCAACGGACTCCAATAAAGAATTGTATATAAAAACACAACAATTCCAATTCTTCTAGATGAGAAAGTTTATCCAAGCCTTTGCTTTAATAAATGTATCTGTAAATGCGCAGTTTCTGTGCACAATATATAACATGTGTGTAAACAAGTTGAAGAATGAGGAATGTGATGTGGTAATAACTGAAACATTCTCTGTATTTCTGCATGGAGGTTGAACAGCCAATGAATGAATTACTTCTTGCACAGAAGTGTAAATTTTGTCATGTGTTGTAAAGAAATATTACTAAATAGCTTCATGAATTCTACTTGTGCTACACTGTTCAGGCTTCTGTTACATATAAATTGTTTGATGCTTGTTGAAAAGGTGAAGAAAGTTATTCTATTGGAGAAGTGCAG